CCCCCCCCCCCCCCCCTCCCCAATAACGATGCCGCAGCTGACGAAGGAGTACTCGATCGCCAACACAGACCGCTCCCTGGGGGGACGGCTGTCGGGCAGCATCGCGTCTCAGTGGGGCAACAAGGGCTTCGAGGCGGCCGGGGGCGACCTGGAGCTGAGGTTCAAGGGCTCCGCTGGACAGACGTTCGGCGCCTTCAACCTCCCCGGGGTTTCCCTCCACTTGGAAGGGGAGGCCAACGACTACGTCGGCAAGGGGATTAACGGGGGGCAGATCGTTATCGTGCCTCACAGGTACGAACCCACACAGCAGCAGCAGCAGCAGCAGCAGCAGCAGCAGCAGCAGCAGCAACAGTTACTGTCGTTGTCGTACTTGATGATACACCTCGCACGCACATAGCAGCAGCAATGGCAGCAGCAGCAACAGCAGCAAACTACGTCGGTCTCGTACTTTGATGGTACACGCACACACACAGCAGCAGCAGCAGCAACGGCAGCTTGATAGATGGTGCTCCACACTCCCCCTTTGGGGTTGATGTCGCGAGCTCGGTACATGACAATCGGCGGCAAAGTCAGGAGGCCCCAAGAAGACGACGCTGGCAATGCCGAAATTCAGAAGAGAGCGTCTTTTTTTGTTTCAAGGACGCATTGGTGCGGTGTTGACAACCAACCCATTCGCAGCCTAAAGCGGTACGATGCCTCACTGTCAAACCAAATGCTGCAGGAATGCTATACATGCAACGGTTGCGTGTGGTTGGATTGTTGATGCTTCTTTTGTTCCTTGTTCAGTTTTTTGGGATGTGTATACGACCTGTCTTTCGCTTCTACCCAGATTCAAGAAACACATCTGAGTAGCGCAAAACTTTAGTACGTGTGTTCCCTTCCTGTATCGCGTTCAGTATAGAGGATGCATGTAGCACCTAAACTTGAGTGCATGCGTGCTTTACGTTGTTGATTGGTCCTTATAGCACGCTAAAATGACCCCCCCTTAAATATTGCTCTACGATTTTTTTTTTGTGTTACAATGTACCCGTCGAAAAAAGCGGTCCTAGTCATGACGTCCAACGTTTTTTTTCTTCCAAACCCGTTTGTCGGCGGCGCACAGCGCGTCGACAATGGACGCTTCCGAGAACGTGATCATCGGGAACACTTGCCTGTACGGGGCCACGGGCGGCTCGCTGTACGTGAACGGTCGCGCTGGGGAACGGTTCGCGGTGCGAAACTCCATGGCCGACTCCGTCGTGGAGGTGAGAACCGAATGAATCATTCTCGTCTGTTTTGTGTGTGTTTTTCTACACTGCGGAAGCCGCCGCCGCTTGAGAACCTTGAAATTTTGGGCCGAGAGGGGGATTTTCTTGTTTCCTCTGTGAGGTACCCCCACAGCGACTATACTGGTTTTTTAAGTGTGACTATATAGGCTTTTGTGTAGGATTCTTGACTGAGCACCTGTTGTTATTGCCATGTTGTCAAATTTTCATTTTTTTTTTTTTTGTCTCAAGTTGTTCACTGTAAAGTTCCTGACTGTTGGGGTGTTCTGTGCTACGAAAGCCGTCCATCGGCGGTAGAGACGGTCGACTCCGTCGTGGAAGGGAACCGAATGACCCGTGCTCGTGTTTTATTTTGTTTGCACGACTATTTTTTTTTTTTATTTCACGACTATTGTAACAGGTTCGGGATTGTGTTGATCCTTGAATGTTGTGAATAGTCAAGACTCTTGACAACATCGGTCTTGAGAGCCCTTGTCACAGGGGAAGATCCTGGCCCTTGCCACCCAATCAATCCCCCCCCACGTCCGACTCAATCTATTTACCCCCCCCCCCCCCCCGCTGACGACGACGCTAACAACTGTTGTACCTCCATGTGTGTTTGGCACGAAAGGGTACCGGCGACCACTGCTGCGAAGTACATGACCGGGGGCAACGTGGTGGTGCTCGGCACGGTGGGGAGAAACGTCGGCGCGGGTATGACCGGAGGCGTCGCCTACATCCTGTGAGTGTCAGCTAAATGCTGCTGGTTTTTCGTCGTTTTTCCGCGGTGGTTTTGAAAAAGGAGAGCTTTTCCGGGTTTCCGACCCCGTCTCGTTCACAGGCCCATTGTCAATCGGCCAGTAGACGCTGTCGTTAACCGACTCGCTGTCGGCGCTATTTTTTTCACTCTCATCACTATAATACACCGATATCGACCCGGCGTCGACCGTGTTCTGTATTTGAGCCGTGTGTGGAGTCAATGTAACAGCAGGCGTGTGTCACTTGGACCTCCCACCCACCCCCATCCCCGTGATTTGTTTCCGGTGGTGCACAACCCCGCCGCCTGACGCGCGGGTCGATCGACCACGCCCAAGACAGTTTTTCTGGCAAACTGACCAGGCTTGCACTTGTCCATTGCTTCGATTTTCCCGCCCAGAATATGCTACCCGCTTGTGCTTGCTTTGTGCGATATTGATTTTCGTTGGTCTCCTCAGCTCCCCGTCCGCCCTGCACCTACTTGTATGAGATTTTGTTTCATGAGACGATCGAGCACGCACTTTTTGGCATCCGGAGACAGCGGTTCCACAACTGTTTAGAAGAAAACAGAGCGATTGGTCGCTCATCAGTCATGAGATATTTTTCTTGGTAGCTCTCGTGCGTTGTGCCAGAAGGCCTGACCGTTGTTTCACGCCCTCTGTCTGCCTCACTCACCTTTGCGCTGTCGTGAGGTATTTTTTTTTTAGTCTGATGGCCCAGCTCCTCCGCCAAAACCTCCCACATGTCCTGCCAAAACCGGGAAAATAATAAATACCCAACACAAAACAAAACCCACACCTACATTTTTTATTCTCTGCTTGCTTGCATTCTTTGCGTTGCTTTTTATACGTGTGCATGTTTCGTCGTGTCTCCGCCTTGCCCTCCCTTGATCGTCGTTTCTTTTGTTTTTGCGTCGTTTCGCCCCCCCTTACCCCCCCCCCCCCCCCCGCCCCCCCCGGGTTGCGTTCCCCTTTTTTCATTTTCACGCTGTCATGATGGCGCCGCGCCACGTTTCTCCAGGGACGAGTTCCCCGAGGGCGAGTTCATGGAGCACGTGAACCTCGAGATCGTCAAGGCCCAGAGGGTGGTCACGCCCGAGGGAGAGGCTATCGTGAAGGGGATGATCGAGAAGCACGTAGAGCTGACCGGGAGCCCGAAGGCCAAGAGCGTGCTGGCCAACTGGGAAGAGAACCTGCCGAGATTCTGGCAGCTGGTGCCTCCAGGTAAAGAAGAGCTCATTCTACGGACGTACCAGTCTTTGGTATTAACCTGGTACAAGACCATTGTTGGTGTCGGCAGGTGTTGGTGCGTATCTTCTCGTTGTGAGAACTCCACAAAAATTCGGATACCGCCCGCTCTCCTTCCCCCCGCCATATGGCTTAAGCCATGACCTACCCTAAGCAATCACTGAAGCATGGGCATGTGTTTTTTGTCAACGTTTGCAGTTGGAGACGCACACATCCGCCGCGGGACCCCGCCCCAGCGTGTTTTGTCGGGGTTGATACTTTCCGGCCCCCTCTTGAATCGAGAAAGCTCAAAGCTGAAAAACCTTGACCCTGTTGTATGTTCATGTACGGTACCCGGTACCGCACATAATAAAGTACTTTCTGCAAACACCCTTTGCCTGATTCTCTGCCACGTTGTGATCCTCAATCGCCCCCTCCTTTCGTGCGTGCTTGTGTGCAGCCGAGGCTAACATCGCCGCCACGAACCCGAGTGTTTCGGAAGCGGCGGCGGCGGCAGCGGCGGCGGCAACAGAAGTAGCACCCGACGCAGCGGTACCCGTGGCCTAGGCGAAGAGACCGGATCGCTGTACAGATTTTTTTTTAAGTAAGCGTCACAAAGGAGTGTGGCAAGATAATGAAGGCCACTGTAGGTCACGTGAAACGTTGGCCCAGGGTAACAATCAAAATCATTTAGGAAACGTCAGAATTAAGCGGGAGAGATGACAGGTTTTGGAATTACGTTCGCTTGAGATTAGGACGTGTTGGTATATGTCGGGAGGCGGGTTTAGTCTCCCGTAGAGCTGTCGCTGCCGGAGGGAGATTCGTTTGAGAATATGGGACTAAGTTGATGACCGGGGGGTAGAACATATTTTGCAGTGCCTGGAGAGGGCTTTACACTATGGTAGATGAGGCACACCCAAACACCAACGATCGGACTTGGTATCGTCACGAGGGTATTTTGTATGTGGACACGTGTCTGTCGCACGGAAACGCTGCCACGGTAGCGTCTGGATAGTCACAGCAGAGCATGTCGAGAGATATGAGCGCGGGCGAGAGGCCGTGTGTGCCGGTCGTTGAAGTTAATGTTGTAGAAGGGAGGGCTAAGCCTGTCTGTCTGGAGGAGAAGGGTTTCTGCGTAGCAAGTTTAACATGTCTCGTGCGCGGTGCTTGTTGGAAAGCTGAGCCGCAAGAGGACCGACAATTCGGCCTTTATGTTTCGGTGCTGCTGCTCCTGGCTCGGAGTGCATGGGTAATTTGGAGGTTGTTTCTAGTCGGTGGTATCTTGCCGAGGTGTATCGCGCTGTTCTGAGAAGTTGGTCCCCAACCCCTTGCATTTTTCCAGCACCACAAAGTAGTATATGCATCATGACCCCCTGTTCGATGTCGAAAGTCTCCTACCCTAGGTGTCGATCCTGCTTTTTCCTGGAAGTGTTGGTTGTTGTTGCCCTTGCAACGGTTGCGGGGTTTCAATCCAAAGAGGCGCGTGCCAGGTGGATTTTTACATGGGAACAGGAAGTGATATTTTGGACGTGTGTCGATTATCTTGTTGGGTGTCGACGCGGCGTATGTGGTTGAGGAACTTACGTGTAGAAGTTAAAGACCGATGTCTGTCCCCTTGTGTAAACAAGAATGCGATGATGCTGGGCGTGATGATGTAGAGGGGACGGGGTAGAAGGGAAGAGACACGTTGGCATCTGGGAAGTGTCGAAAAATATCCTTTGCGTTACACCACACTGCGTAGCCGTGAAGCTTTTGTGAGCACGGAAGCTGTCGCACAACGACGGTTTACGTAGTTCAGGCGCTTACCGTGTATTTTTTGTGGGGTATGGGCGACGTCGGCTCGAATCCTGCCTGTGGGTTTGTGGCGAGAACCAACCTTTCCCCACCTCTTTCGTCCGCGTGCCAAACGACAGCAGTTGTCTTTCTACAGTACATGGACTGAAAAATGTGAAACAAGAATATGTTCCGATATTTTTCCTTGGCGATTCCCCACATGTGATGCGGTGCAAGAGCTCGCTATGGCTTTTGAGGTTAAAAGTTGAGAATGACGATGGAAGAGAGACCCGCTGGGGTCGATCGAGAGACACGCTTCCGCTTTCTTTCTCGTTATCCCAGCCAGCACGCAAACGAAATCAAGGAGAATCAACGTCGGTAAGTTGATCATACCCGTGGCAGCGCCCGTTCCGGCCGTGGTGTGTGTCCACCTGCATATGGCTTGTTAGCATGAGTGTGTGGGGAATGCCACTCACACGTTTTTGATCATGAGTTGGACGGCACTGACTGGTGTCCGTGGCACCCCACCTGGTTTCTGAGTCAAGGTGCCCCTACCTCCCGCGTGTGCCAGACGGCCTCTTCGGGCGTTTTTTACTGGTAGCGCTTGGAAAAAAAAAAAGAAAAATAACGAAGAAAGTTCAGGCCTTCTCTCGCGGCCCCATCTCCGAGAAACTGTTGATATCTCGACGACCACGACTCTCCTTTGCTTTTCTTCACGCCGGAGCTTTCGTGCGCAACGCGGGTTTTGATTAAGGTTGTGCTCTGCTCATCTTTTTTGCGGTAACACCACGCTGTCATGTACCGCCATCCAAAGATGCGGTACGCCCGCTACGGTTGAGAGCGTACAGGGTGAGACTGTCAACTGCGAGCTACTTGCGATATCACAGCGATGCTACAATATACAAGCGGGAACGTGTAGCACGCGTGCGTTGCGGTTGGATATGTAAATCCTAATCATCTCTGGCCACGGTGCGAAGACGATTGAAAATTGTTTGATGGCCGATACAGATGTAACGGCAGCACTAACGCAACAAGGGACACAGCAGTAAACATTAAACATAAAAATAGCAGACGAACAACTCATGCACACAACAGGCTACACACAACAAGCTACACACACACAAACGAACGACTCTTTTCCCAGCAGGACGCCACAAATCAGGTCACATCGATCTCCCACAGCCAAAAGCCGCCCCCCAAACCACTTCATTCTCCACCCATTTCCCGCAGGCAAACCAAGGGCAACCAACCGTCCTTCAACGTCTAGCAACGCCACAGGTGCGAAGCGCGTTAAGCTTTCCGTACAAGACACATCTCTACGAGAACTCCGTAGGTAAAAGAGACGAAGGAATGCAACCAGGTACTGCTGTGGTTAACGGCACCGCCGCATACATGTTGAATTCTTCCTCTGACGGAAGGGATAGCCGCACAGCGTTGTGACGTCGTTCCGACGACAACACACATACATCACACCAATCCAAACCTACAAAATTTTGGAGGGGGACAACCCTTCGGGCCCCGTCTCGACGCACCCATCATCCCGCGAATACCAACAGAGTCCATGCCATAGGGGCATTCTTTGCGTCTGAGCACGCATCCCGCCCCGCGTTCGAGCCCAACGGTAGCACAAAAACATTCGCACAGCATCGGCTACAAACACCCTTCGCACCCGAACACAAAATCCTCAAGCGTCGCGTTATCCTCGCATCAAACCCCCGACATTTAACAACCGCACGTATGTACACCAACGTGACCAGTGGCAGGTCTACGGAGCCCCCCCACACGGCGCGTGCGTGCCCCTCAAATTTTACGCCTCCCTGTGCCCCCGCCCAACGTCACCCGAGCTAGAATCGCCACGAAACACAACAGTTTGCTTCGTCCGAGCCGAGCTGTCTCTCATTCCCCCCGAGTGCTTGGAAGAAACCTCGTGGACGACCCTCACCAGAACCTGAAGTGATAACGCAATCCTCGCCTCCTTGTTCGCTTCCATATTTACAAAAGGATGTCTACTTACAGGCGCTACGCGATGCCGAGCGGCCACGTGATCCAATCAATCCATCCGCCCACGTTTGACACGCGTGACGCGTTCGTTTTTTTTACTTTCCGTCATACCAAGCGCAGGGAGGCTGATCCGGTTGACACGCGACCAGTCTGTGACCTGGCCTGAACCCCCCCCCCCAAGTCGCTGCGCCCCCCCGCCCGCGTCCTCTGCTCACGATGGTCATACGCAGGAACATCCCCCCCAAATTGGACGAAACGACCACAGACGAAGTCTACCACCCCAAAAACAATCATGACGCCCTTCACCTCCGTTCTAGGCCTCGTCTCACTTTTCCTCGGGGATGAAACGAAACGTCCCCAACCCCTGTTAGGGTTCATGGCAACTCTTCCTTGCCATAGCAGAACAGATGAGCCTACCAGTTGCCTTCTGACCCGGCCCCACGCACCGGCGGTCCGATTTCGTTCTGCGTGAAGTACACCCAGTCGGCGAAGGCTGTCCCCGGAGGGTGGTCGATGTCCGGCAGCCCATCCTCCGTCCATTCCACGGAGACGGGCACGATGGTGAAGGGTTTCAATCCCGTGCGGCGTTCTACTCGGTCCGGGATACCGTCGCGCGCTTGAACGTGCCCGTTTCCGGCCAAGAGTACTATCCGCCCCCCCGCTCGCTGGAGGTACCTTCGAAATCGGGTGGCGTGCAAGCCAGGGGGCGGGGGTACAGGCACAACATTTAGCATTGCTTGGGTATTGTGCACGTTAACGTTACGACAACCGAGGCACACCGTATTCGTGTTCGGAGGAGGTTGTTCTTAAATGTTACCTGAGGGGGTCGAACAACGGAGAAAAAGCAGTTCGAGCCTGAACGTGATCTCATTCGGTTCATCCGAATTTTTGTAGGGAAAACTAGTCAAAAAATAGGCTCTCCTTCCCGAAACACCGTATCCCTGCTCTCACCGGCTGGCCGATTCCGCCATGTACTCGTCCCACAGCGTCTGGGCTTCGTACATGCGGTTCATGGCAGCTGCGTCAATCCCTGCCCCGTGCTGGAAGCCATTGATGGCGTCCTCGAAACGCTTTCGATGGGCCATATTGCTGAGGTCCATTTCTGGGAGCACCTCTCGGAGTCGCTGGGGTAACCCCGCGATCCCGACCTGACACGAAGCGAGACGGGGTTCAGCAGAGAGTACGAAGGATGGGGGTGGATGGGGGTGGGGGGCAGATGCTGCGAGTACAATGACTACATGTATACACTAAAAATTCTCTACACGAGAGAAAAACGAGTGAGAATGTATCCGTAGATTTCATGACATGGGTGACGACACACGGCAGTACTATCATAGTACGGCCGCAACCACAAACTTACAAGGGGTGAGACCCAATGACTTTTCGGTATAGAAAACACTCGATGTAGAACTTCGAGCACACCAAACTTTTCCTTCGTATCGTGGGTCTCCCCTTTGCTTGCTTACCTTGTTGATCAGGTGCAGGAGGGACTGAGGGGCATTCAACCCAACCAAGCGGATGCCGTTCTCGCGCGCGTAGTGGAAAATCTTGGCGTACTGGTTGAAGTCAAAACCCCATGTCTCGTCCCATTTCGTGTCGAGCTTGAGCGCCGCGAGATCTCCGTGATTAAAGACGTAGCGGTCGAGAGCATCCTACAGAGGAAGAGCGTCGAGTAGGAGGGGGAGGGGGGCGTACTGACATTTCGCATGCCATAGGTGTCAGACCAGTGACCAGGGGGGCTTGTGTGAGCGGCTCGTTGTTGGCTTGGATCGGAAAAAATTACGTGTACCGAACCTGCAATTTATATTTGCGATGGCAGACCAATTCGTATCGCCGTTTTTGGCAGATTAGGTTATACTTCTTGTTTTCTCTTTGCACCTCCGAGAGAGCGAAAGACGCACGCAGGTTTGACTTCGCCCACGACGAAATGACTCTTGTTGTGGGTCATAGTCATACGCGAAGTCATTTTTCCGCGCTTTCCGGCACCAAGCACGCTGCTAAGGAAGTGCAAGATCCATGGGCCAGAACAGCAGCAGTGGGGAATACGCCGCAAAACAGACAACAGGGCAACTCGTCGGCAGCGTGATATCGTGGCAAAACCTCCGGGAGAGGCGAGAGCGGTAACACCGATTAAATCCCACCACACACCTGCTGCTGGCGATAGAACATCTCGAGACCGATGGCCAGCGGCTCGGTCTTGGCCTTGGTGACCGACGCCACGGCCTTGATCACCTCGAACTGCATCCTGTGGTGGAGCGGGTGGGTGTGCATCTCGCCCGTGCAAACCACGCGGTCCGCGAAGCCGACCCCGGGGAAGATCAGCCTTGACGGGTCGGCGGGCACGAAGCTTTTCCTGGCGGTGTCGAATATCCGTTCGTACTTCATAACGTCGTACGACGGCGGGGGCCGAGGCTTTACCAGGGCCGGGGCTAGCGCTGCTCCTACTAAGCCCCCGATGAAGCCCTGGCGAGTCAGGGTATCGCCGGAGTTCGACCCATGCGGGCTGTCAGATCGAGAAGAAGCTTCTTCCCCCATGCGAAGCGCCGTTGGTGCTGCTGTCGACCGAGGTCGTGGCCTTGCTACTTGTACTGCTGCCGGCAAGAAGGGGAGTAGGCCTTGGGTTGCTGGCACCAGGAGGAGGAGAAGCAGCAACACCGAGTGCTTTGCAAGGAGCCGCATCTCGAAAGCGTGTGTGCCTTCGATGGTATCGCGCGCGCCTCTCTCGCTGCTGACGACGACAGAGCTGTGCCTTCGAGCCTTCGGAAGCAAAAGCGGCGCGTGCCGCTCTCTCTCCCTGGTAGACGCAGCTCTCGCCCTGACCACCCTGTTACGTACGTATGTTAGTGGCTGCGTGTCCCGTGTCGAACTCGTCGGATATAAGTTCGACAAGAACTGCAACACGGGCAAATAAAGCGTGATGTTGGCGAGGACGGGGGGGAGAGAGAGAGAGAGCTTCGGGGCGTGTGCCGCGTTGGTAGGTGTTGCGGCGTTGCGTGTTGCCGTGTGCCACTGACAGTCTCGGGGGGAGACGCAGAATCATAGGTCTCCGGCAAGCAAATCGACATCTCCCGCGCTCGTGGTAATCACTGAAAAGACTCCACCACATCCCGTTCGACTGCTGTGTGTGTTATTATTCCTAAATCTTAATCTTCACACAGCGTCCCGGATCTCCGCCTGCAAGATTTTTCAGATATTTTTCCCAGCGCCGATCCACTACCTGACTGGCGCAGGAGTACTGCGATCACCACGGACCTCAGGGACCGCTGGCGTAGGAGTACTGCTTCCATTGCGGTCGAGGGAGCAGGATCTCATCTAGCCAGGTTTCTCAAAGAGCTACACTACGATAGCAGCAACGGTATTATTGTGTGTGCTGGCTGCACCTACTACAGGTGGAGGTCCACCCCCCTTCCCCAAAATGTCGGATGCCCTCGCCCCCTTGTTGTGGAGACCTTGACAAGGTCGTCTCCACAAGGGGGCGAGGGTATCCGACATTTTGGGGAAAAGGGGGGTGGACGTCCACCTTGTACTGCTGTGTTGTTGCCGTTCGTTTAGTTTATTTGCGAGACGGGCGTCCAACACCAGAGGTGCATGTTCCACCATCGCAACTGCAAGGCGAAGCATTTACTTGGACGCCTCAACGGCAGTAGAGAACGAAAGAAGGAGGGGTCGGGAGCCGGCGGGTAATTCGGCCTCCTCGTTTCCGCGACGTTTGGGTATACAGAATAAAAGGTGGGGCAACTTCTCCAAACTCTGGACGCACAAACTAAAGTATGAGGCTCCTGCCGCTGCTGCTGGTGCCCCTGCTGCTGGGTGCATGTGCAGCAGACGGGTCTTCGGTCTCTACCGCCGCCGACCCTACAGAAGAGGCCGAATGGGACACGCTCGTAGGGGAAAATGAACGGCGGACCTACAACGGGACAGGTGAGTCCAGCCTTCAGCTTTGGCAGTGCAGCAGGGAGACGAGCACACCACGTGTTGACGTGGAGTGTGTGTGTCTCGGGTAGATGTCGCTTTCTGTTACCAGGTGCGCTGTGTTGAGTGTGGTTCGATCTTTGCCGACGGGTTATCATGTGTTGTGCGAGCAAGTAAGTTTCCGACCTTGTACGGGAGAAGAGGAAAGGCAATAGGACAAGTTTATGGTGCGGGTGGTGCACGAACATGGTGTGTACCGAACGAGGCTACTACGCGTGTTGTTGGTCGATAGTCCCGCCAATAGACTATACGGCTGAAGACAGATTGCGTTTCTACTACTGCTGTGTAGTCTACCGTACGTACGTACGTGTGTCGTCTGGACAAGAGGGTCTATTCAATGACCTGGCGATCATGCAAAAAAAAGAAAGTTCCCGACGTACGATGAGAAAATGAAATGCGTTGACCGAGCGAGAGATGGCCGGAGATAGGTGGGTTTGTTTTAGGAAAACTACACACACAGAAAGACTGGTTTGCATCTTGTCTTGGACCGAAACAAAAAACCCGGGGTGTGCCAGGCTAATGCTGTATAAGGGTCCAGAACCGAGGAGATAGGTTCTTAGTATCAGAGGTGTGGTGTACACAAGTTGTACACAAAAATCCCGGCCAATTCTCTTTTTCAGCGCTTTACTCACACCACACACAGGATACGCGAAGAAATAAATGGCGATACAAATAGCGATAAATGGCGATACAAATAGCAGCTGATATGAAGTTCTTCAACTAACTGCTGAGCTGCTCTGCCGCTGGCTCTCCGCTTCACACACCACACACACTACCTACATGGCGATATATTGTGCTTCAGCGCTGCACTGCTGTCCTCTGCTCGCTCTCCGAGAGCACAAAGGCTACAAAAGCCGCACCACCCCCGATGCAAAAGAAAAGCGGACGCAAAAGAAGAGAATCTTGAATTGCTCCGGCGATGGAGATTCTTCGCGTCGGAATAAACAGGGAACGATTTGCACGTTTGAGGTTATTTTCTCAATAATGCCCTATTCCATAGAAATACGGCATCGATCAACAGCATATTTGCAACACCCTCGGCGGCGTACAACATGAAGAAGGCGTGGTTAAAATTCGAAATTGTCGTATAGGTCGTAGGATTAGTGTCTTCCCCCCGGTAGGGGCATGACAACAGCACAGCCCACTTTCCAGCTTGCCAGGTCTCGGACCCGTGCAACAGGCACGGTGAAGTGTCGTGTGCGGTACGGCAAAAAAACGGCAAGCAAGAAAGTGTGTCAATAACATCCGCAGGATGTATGCTACGAAGTAGGAATTGTCAAACCTAATTGGATCTCTCAGTTGTATATCAATTTCTGTGGCAGCGTTTTCCCCGATGTTGGAGGTGTAGTGTGTAAAACCCCAGGGGCAACGGGCACGTACACCCAAGTATCACACGGTCCGGGACCCAAGAAGAAGGTTTTTATGTTGAGGTTGGCGGACCTCGAGGAGACAGCGGTCAAAGACCCACATGAGATACCACGTTGAGCTCACGTCGCGTGAGCCATTTCCCCAATTCGAATCTCCCGCACGAAGGGCTCCGTCACATTTTCCAACAGCAAAATGCACTGCCTTTGTGCCTCAGGTTCTGCTTACGCTTGGGCACCCAGTACCGTAGATCCGATGATCGAGCGTCGGGCCTCAAATATGTGGATTTGGTTCCCTCGTTTTTCCGTACCTCCTTTTGTCCGCACATCCGACTTTCTTTCCCTCGAAAAGAAACGTCACAACTTCGCCCACCTCCAATGCTCCCCTTGCTGTTGACGCAGGAAACAACCTTGACCAACCTGAATGGGGCAGCGTCGGGCAGAGACAGGTAAGCGAATAGGTGGACATGACACCAGCTGCTGTTATTTTGCTGACTACGGTGCATTCGGTATTGCACAAGGTGGACGGGCCTATCAGGTCGAAAGATGAAGTGCTTTCACTCATTTGATCCTGTATGATCTAGACACTCGCAAGAGCGCTGAACAATGCACTCGCTTGTGCTATATAAAGTACACGACTGGCGGTGTTCTTTCTGCTGTGTACAAAAAAAATCGTTCTGAGTTGTCGGCCGCATCCCCAACAGGGCTACCATAGAATACTTGCATTGGCTTTTTTGGTTCCATGAGTGTGGGTGTGGTGTTGGTCTCAGCTTTTGCACAGTATCTCTTTTTCTGCTCGCTATCACGCCATCTTTCGTGAGCATATAGCACCGTCACACTGCAGGAGCCGTGCCTACGCACGAGCCCTTCTCACCATGCTGAGGCAAATTCCCTCCCCTCCTCTATCCCTCTCTTCGTGGACCGCCTACACTGCTTCTCCACCAGCTCCGCAGCATGACGGAGGCTAGCTACGGTGACGGGGTTTCAGAACCACCAGGGGACGATCGCCCAACTGCGAGGTGACCACAGGGGCTTTGGGTGGCGACCGCCCCCTCCCCCCCTCCCTTGCTCTCTCTTCTCCGTGTTTGGAGCCGCATAGCAACGGCTTTGCCGGGTAATGGTTCCTGGACGCTGTGCGCGCTGATTCAGCAGTAGGTGCTTTGGTAGTACTTCTCTCGATCCGCCTCCCGTCGCTCGACTCACAGCGGCCGTCGGTGTCGTGTTTCTTCCGATGTTTTTCGGCCACACGCTGCCGTAGGAACAACTAACCAGCCCCCGCTCCCCCTCCCGTCCCTCGCTCGCGTCCAACGCACATGAACTGCTTGACACCATCGCCACGGCCCCTACGGGCCGGCCGTTGCACCGCGTAGAGAGGTCCTGTCGGAGGTGTTTCTCGCCAACCCGTCGACAACCTCGACGGCCAACGCTTTGTTCGTCGGGTGGGGTTTGCTGGTCGGGTACGACCTCTTCCTCACGCAGGACAACGCGTCCGAGCCGCTGGACATCGCGTGTAACGACGCCGAGATCAGGGACGTCTGGTGCCCCCTGGGTTCGCTTTCGGACCCGATCCCGTTCAGCAGGTCGGAGGCCGGGGAAGACGCCGGGGGCGAAGAGGCCAGGAGCCCGATCAACTACGCGACGGCCTTCGTAGACCTGGACTGGATGTACGGGAGGGACGAGGCGACCTCGGCGTCGTTGCGAACGGAAGACGGGGGTTACATGAACATGACGAACGACGAGCTGCCGCACCTCCTGGATGACGGCACCTGGCTCGTGAGTGATCCGACAGCCTATGCCAACTACAAGAGCGATGGTCAAGATCTACGATAGCGAGTTTAGGGAATGGGTCCCCGCATACGGAGCAAGGCGGGGGTCGGGGATCACCGTGCAGTATCCTTGTTACGAAGGAGTTGGTGTATCGTTCAGGTGGCACCTTCGACGAGCGCTTGCTATGCTACGTAGGAGCCGTTTCACGTGCCGATTTTCGGAATATAACATGTGTGTAAATAGTTGTTGAGACTTTTCTTTGTTTATATTTTTTTCTTGTTGTTGGCGACGCCCCTCGTCTTTTTTGGGTCTCGACCGCTGCTCCTTGCGCCGTCGACGTGTGGCAGGTGGCAGATCAACGGCCGGCGAGGCTGCCCGTGACTTTCGCGCTCATGACCCTGCTTTTGAGGGAGCACAACCGGTGCTGCGACGAGATGGCGCCGGAATGGGACCCGGCGAACGATGAGGTCCGGTCATGTCATGAAGAACTGCCGTCGTTTGGTGAACGCGCTAATTTGTGGTTGCCTATGTAGTAGGCGTTCGACGAGATGAAGCGGTGTGTCACTGTTCGCAGCAAGTGCGAATGGGCTCTGCTTCTGCTCTGTTGCTACGGAAAGAGAGCACATGGTGGACAAAGGTCGAACATGGAAAAAGAAAAACCGCTTTGGCAAGTATGGTAGTGGTCATCTTGTCCTACTATTGTACCATTTCTTGCTGCAGCAGACACCTTCAATTCCACAACTTACTCTGTGGTGGATGTGCCTGGCGACGTGCTTGCACGAATGTGCAACAAGCGAAAGGCCACCGGCTTCAGGCTGTATTGTCCCCTCTGACAGCCGTCCTCCCTAACCCCGTACACAAACCACTCCCTCGAGGACAGGATACATTCCAGTTCTGTCGGCAGTGGACCATCGCGGTGTTCCAGCACATCACGGAGAACGACTGGTCCGTCCGATTTGTGGGCGGTAGTATTAAGGTCCTCGGCGCCGCTGCCTACGACGACGATGACCACGACGACCATGGCGAGGAGACGGACGGCAAAAGGCGGCGACGGCGGTTAGGCGACCTCGAGAACGTCGTCCGATCCCGGTACTGAAGTCTCGCTTTTTTTTTTTACACCTACTGCGCTCCCAGACGCCTTCGCAACCGGAAAACGTGTCCAACCCCGCTATCGGCGACATGCTTTTTTGTTCTCGTGGTTTGGGAAGCCAACCCCCCTTGTGCCGCTCTTGTCGTGGCTGATTCGCCGCAGGTACCTCACGCAGTCGAACGGCAGCTACGACGCCGGGACAGACGCCGGGACGGACGTCTTTTTCGCCACCGTCGCGGCGCCGGCGTTGTACTCTGCCCTCCCGTCGACGGTAGGGCTCCTGGACGACGGCTTCGAAGTCATGGCTGAGGTGCGTCCGTGCTTTCACAGCTACTGTCTTGAGGCCGTACATACCACAAACACACCGTTTCATCCTCACAGCAGTAGACGGTCATAGATCTCGATCGGTTTTGTTCTGCCCATCAAACGAAGCAAGCATGGAGAGGCAGATTACTACAGCCGAACAAGGTTGCCATGCATTACATTTGGCTGCTGAAGCCGCTGCGATGGCTGGGGGTACCGAGGTCCTTGATTTTCCGTTGAGGGTAGTAAGCGAAACGAACGTGCGCGCCTTTTGGCTTGAAAACCCGTGGCGAAAGGAAACGTGCACTGGAAAAAAGGGATGCGTTTAGATCTGGAACGTTGTGCTCGGCCTTCAAATGTCGTGCGTACTCGATCTACGATTCGCTGAACAGAGTTGCGATGGTTGATTGAGAGAGAGACGATGCAAGGACGATTTGTCGTGGAAACTACGACGTGGGCGTACAATGGGGATACTGGTTCATTGATACGCGATGCCATTCCCACCCCCTCCCCCGAGCCGCCTGTGACCCCCACGCTCACACCTCGTTCTTGACCGTCTCCCACCCCACGACTACAAACGTCCGGCGCGAACCTTGCAATGCCATTCCCGCGTACATATCTTCTACGGTAACTTACCAGCACGAGGTGGAGCTAGCCACGGCGAACGCGGATCTTGCCGGGCTTGTGACACGGATCGGCGGAATCGAGCCCATCATCAGGGGAGCCTCCTACGCGCGCGCTCGGGGTATAGACGCCTCGTTTGTCGCCGAGGTTTCGGTGTCGTCGCCTCTGTTCAACTTTCCCGTCGAGGCGATCCAGAGGGGGCGCGATCATGGTGAGCGTGAGGAGGCGGGGGCGGGGGGGGGGGGGGGCAAAAAAATTTTCCCTCTTATTTCAAGGGGGCTCAACCCCTCCCCCTTGAAAGGGGGGGGGGGGGGTCCCCATATCTTGCCTACCCCA